TACGTAAGGCACTTTATGAAACCAAAGTCAGTGAAGAGCAGGGGCAAAAGCTAACGGTGGATCGTGAAGAAATCATACAAGACATTGAAGAGGATCTCAAGAGTATTGAATCATGTCTGACATCGCTCAGCAGTTCGGTCTGCACGAATCTTTCTAACGATAGCGGCAGCTTTTTACTCATGGAGGGGAAAACGAAAATTCCACTCGATTATATACGCAAATCAGTGGTGCCATTTGAGCCGATGAACCGTTGTCGCTTCAAGCTCGAGCCGCTCGATATCGAAGCAGAGGAAAATAATCCCTTCAAAGTACTGCCATTTACCGGACAGGGCAAGGCACAGAATGAGCTTAATGCCGCCAAAGATAGTTTCTTCACCTTCAATACACGTCTACAAAATGGTTTGCGTTTACGCCTCGAGGTGCCGGTGGAGGATGTACGTCAGAAACTAATTGGTCGCGGTCCGCACAAGTATCGCAGTGTTGTGACGACAGATATTGACGAGAACTATGTGGATGAATTGAAAAATCGACCGCCCGTGAAGATGTTCAGTTTCAAAACGGGCAGCTCATTTATTAAGGACGCGTTGCGTTTGAAATTTGAGTCTATGCTTATACAAGGTCAAATAGTACGCACCAAAATCTATGATCGTCTCAACGAGCATCATTGGGAGAATATGATGCGCTTGAAGTTGCTATATGAAAAGCTATTCGCCAAATGGGAAAAACGCGAATATGAATCGGCTATGTCGGTGGTGCATAAGGTTAGTAAAATCCTCTGGCTCACTTTAGGAACACTTTTTATTCTTCCCACCGGCCTCTGTAGCATGGGCTATATGGGCTTATAGCACAGGGCTTTCCATAATGGATTACTCTTTTATGAAGATACTTCATTCTTAGGTGAAAACATATTACGATCGTACAGATGCTCTAAAGCGTGAATTTCGTGAATTGGAACGTCAACAAATTGTACTCAATATGGATATCGTTTTTATTGAGGGTCATTGGATACGTCGTATTATGTTGCAGAACTTTCATTATCTATTGGGCGATTCGGAGTGGCGTTACGAAAATGATTGGATACATCGTATAGAAAAAATTTCACAGCGTGGTTCCGAATGTGAAGAGGATGAAGATTACGGCGAGGAAGAAGAAGAGGGTGAAGAAGGCGAAGGCTGTACCAAGACAACTATTGAATTGGAAAATTTTGAAGAGTCTATAATGAAACGCAACACCGTAAACATACGTAAGCGTGATAAGGATGACGCATGGGCGATTAAGAGCTATTACGAGGATGTCTATATGAAGAATTTACATCCGATATTGATTGTATTCCCCAATGCGGATAGTTTTATGCGTGGCATAGAGAATTTAAAAATTAAAACCTTCGTCTTGCTACTCGAAATGCATTTCACACTATCCATACACACCGAACTGCAGAGCCGTTTGGAAACCTTCGAAGTTTGGTGTTTGGAGGATTTGCGTGAGAAACAGTCATATGTGTCGCGTAAATGCGCCAAGCTATATTTTATGTCCGATCGTGCGACGGATATGAAGCTGCGCACATTGGATTTCCTGTCGGAACCGGTTGAAAGTTCCTTCAATGATGAAGCGTTCATCAAACATCGCGCGGTCATTATAGAAGTGTGGCGTGAAATAGTGCCTGAAAATATGCGCAGCGGTGGTGGGGACGATCTCGAGCCATTGGAAATGGTGGCCATGATTTCGGAAGTTGCAATGGAGTTAATATGTAAGTCCTAAGAATTTTAGATGGGTTCTGTATAAAAGCTTCGACAGAAGGTTGAGGAGGACTAGACTTCAATAATGTACAATAAAACTAGAGACACTGGTCTTTTTACGTTCTAGCGCCAGATCTCTGTACTTTGCGCAAGAGTTGATCAACTGCAAACTCCTGTTAGATACTTTTAGCTTAATGCAGAATCCTGGAGATCGATTAAAATACTTGCTCTCATTATGTCGCAAGTTCAGTACTTCTTTGCGGTCAATGTTCTATAGGTGTCGCGGTAAGCTTGACATTTTTGAAAGTTTTTTCTATCAATTGTTTTGTTTAGGTTATTTTGGTACCACAACAGACCTGCGTACTCAGCCATCCAAGTGGGATTCGTTTTATTGGATCGATCTTTTAACCTAACCTATTTAGGTATTACAATAAATCGGTGCTTTCAGTTGTCCAGCGGATCCGTTTTTTTTATTTTTACTGTCCTTTTAACCTCACATATTTAGGTAGATACAACCGGAGTTCTCAGCTATCCAAGTGGGATTCGTTTTTGGGTCGAGCTTTTAACCTAACCGAGTCTAAGGGTCTAGACAGTTAGACTTTGCGAACGATAGGTACATACGTATAACATAGAATTCCACACATTTGAGGTTAGAATGTAGTTTTCCACAGATCTTGACTGTAACTGCAAGCTTGTACTTCATGCCAATCTCCCTTAAATTATGCTTCCAGCTAAATTCGAATCGATACCGGTTGATGAAAGTCGTCGTATTGAGGCACAATTGCGTCGTCGTCGTGCTTATGATCGTAAAATCTCTCGACAAGCTTATTTGGTGGAGAAACGCATCGAAAGTGAAATGAAAAAGGTGCGTCGCAATTTAGAGCCACCCTATGTGAAGCCGAAGCGTAAAGGCAAATTACCGCGTATTATTATCAAAAAGAAAGAAAAGAAAATCTCATTCAAGGAGCAACGCGTCACCGAGCATACAAAATTCTTCTTCCGCGCCTTTCACGATGAGGGTGATGTTATGCAATTGCATGATGCGCGCGATAGTATTGGTGTAATGGACACCATACAAGAGCAAATTGTGCCATTTTATTTTGATCATTTCCTTAAACTGAATGGATACACCCCAAATTACAATTTCAAAACCAATGTGGAATTACGTGACGGACCTGAAGCTTCACGTGTGGCATTGCGTTCGCTGGTGCCTGAAATATTGGAGAAACTTGATAAGTGGGAGCTTGTACGTAAGCGCATCATGGACGACAACATACAGCGCAATCCAAGAATGTATGAAAATGTGCAATTCTGAATAGTTGGCATTCTCTTATAAAATATACACACTAATATACTTACATGTTATGTATGTTTTCAATAGATTTCTGTCCGAAAAAAATTCAAAACATGATAATACGATAATTGGCTTTAAAAACAATATACGTTAATAATATTTACCTCATTTGCAATAATTGTAAAATCTTTGCAAACATTTTTTTGTGTTGAAATTAATTTTTTTAATGATTTTGGCATCATTTTGTGAAAACATTCTATATTTCTATATTTATTTGCGCAACACATATACAACTAGCCAATTAGCTTATGAACTCAGCTTTTTCTGTTCCCCACTTGCGCTTGGTTTCTTCTCTTGGCTAATCAAATCTTTGAGTATATCCTTTTTCGCCTCAAAGTAGTCACGATACCACAGTATGTGCTCTTTCTTCTCTTTTGCTGTTATGTATGGATTCTTTGAAAGACCGACACACACTAGTTCCATATAATGACGTATGGGTCCCTTTTCTGGACACCATGGTTCCAAGTGTTGATCCAGAAAGATATGCTCAGAGAAGTCTACATTCGCTTCCTCACTCAGGTCCTGCTCATTGTCAATTGGAAAACGCCAAACTTTACCTTGCTCCGTCCATAATGCTAACTTTTCGAAATAATTAGCAGGCGGATGTGTTACCAACAGTTTTAGTTCATTTTTCTGTAGATGTGCCCAGGTGGTGAGTATGTCGGGTACATCGCGTAGTTCCGCGGCATTTTTGAAAATGCCCAACGGCTCGGAACCAAATAAGTTAACACTGCCTGTATAGGTTGCTGCCTCACGTTTACGTTCTTTACGCACATTTTGTTGATCTTGTTGGTGGTGTGGTTTACTTTTTGCCGCAATAGAGCGACGTACAAATTCACCACGTGTTAACTCTTTTGGTGGTTGTGAGCGATCAATTTTCATACCCACAATCAATTCGCTGTTTGTAGAGTAGATATCATGAAAAATTATAGAATTTTAGTAATATGCATTTAAACAGATACATATGTATGTACCTATATTGACCACTTACCTGAGACTTAATTCTGAACTCGCATTATTTGATGCAGCATCGTTCGATTTGTTTATATCTTTCTCTTCTTGATTGTGGCCTAGTAGCTTCGCAAGCAATTCCGATTCTTGCTGGTTTTGCTCACCATCTCCCGCTAGAGAAGCCACACGTTTTGCGGCAACAAAAATATCTTTCGTCTCAGAGTCTTTTTTAAATTCTTCTTTTCGTTTTTTATGTGCATCGCCTGGTCGTGGTAATGTTACATTATTATTTTTATTTGCTAATGAATAGGTATTCTCTGTTGGCATGCTAGATAGCAAACGGTTCAGGCGTGTGATGGCCGGCTCTTCAGTAGATTCCACATCAGCCTTATTTGGTTTAGCTGTAGATTGAGTTTTCACATCCTTACTCTTTTTTTGTTTTGATTTTGGCTCCTTTTCGTCATCGGATGAATCGTAATCTTTGCTGTAATTGCGTGCGCCGGCTATACGAGATACCAGCACTCTGTGGACGTAAAATAAAACGTTTATGTAATTATTGCTATGCTGTTTCAACTCTACACACTTACCGTATAGTTAGCGATGATGATCTACTCAGCATAAGCATTGTTTTTAATTGTTTTAATTAATTTGTTATTAAAACTCTCACAAATTAATGGAATTGGCACCAATAGGTTACAACATCGATTCCATCGAAACGTCAAAAAACATATGGTGCTGTTTTAGTGTTGCGGAATAAGCGCCGCTAGTATAGTTCAAATTTGTCGCACTTTGCCGATTAGTAGTTAATGTTATCGGCTTTATAAACAGCGTTATCGGCATATTTCCTACAAAAACAATTAGCGCATAACTTTAATGTTAAAATTCATATTTAAGAATTAATAACATTAATAAAAAAAAACACATATTTCAATGTTTTATAGTCATTATTGGTAATATATTCTAAGTTGTCTCTCAAAGTAACACTTTATAATAAAATATATAATTTAACTTTCAATATACAATAGCTAATTTTCTTAGTACTATTAATTTACAAATGAATCAGGTTTAGTTATTAATGCTTGGCAAAGCTTTCAATAATTATAAAAATGCATTTGTGCACAATATATGTGTATAAATACATAGTACGCTAAGCTGATACTTTTGTAAAAGCAATATAGCATTTTATATAGGATACATATTTTCTGTTTTTAAGTCAATTTGTACATAAGTTTGTTAGTTCCATTTCCTAGAAGCTTTTGGTCATTTGTTATAATGAAAATAGTGTTAATTTCAGCAGCCAGATAGTATATCACGTTGATTATTCTTACATTCTACGTAAGTACTCTTTGCGTTGTACCTCTTGCTTTGTCAGAATGACTACTTCTCATCAGTTGCGCTTTGCAAGTATTCCATCATAAATAAGCGGAGTATCAATGAGATATTTTCGGTTGCAATATAGTCAATTATGGAATTGTTGTCATCTTTCGTATGCCAAACAGTGGGGAACGGTAGCGGTATTAGATGCAATATGGGAACATTCCGTCTTAAGAAAGGCAGATGGTCATCCTCAACCATTGATGAACGTAATGTATTTGGTTGAAAATAACGATTTGGGTATTGACGCGATACACCGCTGCTAATATACCGTTGCAACATATTTAGATCCGAAAGACGCTCTTCCAACGATACCAAACGCGAATACCAACCTTCCGTATTAGGGAAAAAACTGTAAAAGGTTGGATCAGCCGAACCAATTAAATCCAATAACACTAACATATCCAAACGGTTTAATGTGCCATCCTCTTCCCAGAGCTTAGCTAAGTGACGTGAGCCGTAAATTGAATCATTAGGTCCCCATTCCTTGAAAGCTTCTTCGCCATCGAAAAATATAAACATTAAGCTTAGCTTTGTCTTGCGGAATGGTTCAAGCGCCGTTTGTAATACGTGTGCCATATTCAGTAGCATGGCACATGGCACTGCCGAGTCTGTTGCACCAATAAATTCAAAATCTTCAAAATACTTGCTATCATAATGACATGCAAACACTAAATAACGCTCAGCATCTGGATTGAGTTTTGCTATGATATTATGAAAATGCAATTTTCCCAAAATAGGTGCTGTATCATGGAATTTATCGTATTCAACGGACCAATTAAGTTCACGCAAATTACTCGTTATATAGTCTCGTGCCTGCGTGTGTCCGGTTGTGCCAACAACTCGCGGAATGAGTAAATTATTGGTGACTTTTCGTAAGTGTGGTACATCCGAGAGTGGAGCGTAAGCCAAAAACTTTTCATGTGATAGTTCCTCAGTGCGGTATGTTAACTGAAAGTTATTGAAATTTAATTTAATAACTGGTTAATTCTTATAAAAAGACAAAAATGTTTGTAATTAGAACATTTCACGCTTGAATACCTCATTCCGTCCCACAGCAAAGCCACGTTGAGAATCTTTGCTGGCAAATACGCTAACACTAAGAATGATGAGCACTGCAAAGGATGCATTTAACAAGCACATATTGAAACCTCCTAACAGGCGATACGTAGCTCACAAAGAATCTAGCTATATTGACATCTGACACGAAAGCAATTCAACTGCTGAGCTGCTGGTTTATAAACATATAAATGCAACGACAACTGTTGCTTTGCTTATATGAAACCAACAATTTGGTTGTTGGCACAGGTGTGTTTTTTTTTTCTTTATAGGTGAGATGGGTTTTTCTGGCCTCACTAAAGAATAATAATTTTTACATAACCACTCTTTTATGAATTATTAATTTATGACAGCACACGGAATAGCAATGATTGGTTTTTATCCAGCATAAAGTTCAACAAGTATGAGGAGGGGGTGGTAATGTTTTATCACAACTAGTGATGTGCAAAATCGTTAGTGGCGATAGTCTCGTTATGAAATTTTCGTTATCCCTTTTCATTGCATATAATTTTATACTCTAATATATAACAATATTTAATATAATTAAATTAAATTTAATTCAGTATTTCTAATGGGAGTCTTGAAGTGTATTTAGTCTTTCCAAAACTTCTGTTACAAATTCATCTCGTTATAAAAATTAAGCTAGATGAGGTTATCTTTTGCTTCCACACAAGCCCTCACCATTTAACATTGATTAATACAGCTTACGCAGTTTCCATAGGTATTTGACCGACTCGTCTCTAATACGCCTTGACATTAATGTGGTCAATATACGATTTACCCTTTCTCCTGACATATTTTTTTCTCTTCTAAGAGGGTTCTGAGAATATGTTCGCGAACAGTTTCCACGGCTCGATAGGTTCTTCCTTTAGCTAACCATAATAAAATAACGATAATTTTTTCTGACATTGTCCACGCTATAAACTTTATAGCAAGACAAAGTATAATCGATATTTATTTAGCACCACTTGCAGTGAATTTCATAAACATATGTTTATAAACATCACTGGCTAGTTAACAAACAAAAATTATTATATTTTTATATGACTAAGCATAGAATAAAAAAACTTAATATAGTAGAAAGTAAAGTTTTCAAGCAATTAACACATCATATAAGTTTCATATACAACTTTGCAACACTACAATCAGCTGCTTATCTCTTGCTTATCAAAATTAATTAATTATCTGTCTATCAACCCATAAATTATGAAGGTCTTCATTGTTATGGAAAATTAACTAGCGTGAGTTATTCACTTACCAAATCATCCACCTCAAAATAAGCACCTAGATTATAAATTTTGGGGCGCTCTAGCACACCAATTGCATTGCCCAATTGTTTAAGCCATTGGTTGTATAACCGTAAATGTTGACCACGCCAAGAGATATACTTCATTGCAATTGGAATTGGAGTGTGTGTGTATGGAAGATGCAGTTGTTATTTAACACATTTATTATTTATGATAAAATTATTACTATTTATTTGCACACGGAAGGAAACGCGTAAACGGCACTCAAATGTGCCTTTGTAAAATGTCAGATTATACAAACAACGGTGACGGCTGTGATTCGTATATATGAGCATGCTTGTGTTTTGTGTGTGTGAAAGAAGAAAGTGAAAGTAAAAATAAAAGTAGATATACTCTACGCAGGAATTTTGATTAAAATTAGAGAAAAGTCTTTTGAATATAATAAAAAGTATTACATTTTAATTATCTTACAGTTTTTTCAATATTTTATTATTTACAAATATTTTTATTATACATTTATGGTCACATATAACATGTTTGTACGTAGTTTTAAACAATTTATTTGTATTGAACAATTTAAAACACGCGTATATGAATGTAGGAAAATTCTTATAATATTTGTTATAAAAATGTCTATCTGTGCATTTACATTTAAAGTATACTTATGGTAATACCCAAATTGAGTCATATGTTCTTCGGCGAAGAATCCGTTGCTTACACCACACTTATCTGATCAATCACTTTTAATTATGCTTACATTTTTTGTCATTAGTCGATTTTTTTGTATGACTCCGTATGCTGACTGCCACCAAAATATGCTTTATATATGTACAAGCCCAACGCTAAATGTAAGGCTACAACTGCACCAACCGCCGAATAAATATTGGTGGTAACCTCAGACATTGCGAAAAAGCGTTCCAGCACAGTAGATTTAAGCAAGAAAAATGTTGCGACAGGCAGGAACACGATTAGCGAACAATAGAAGAACACAACTTTGAATGCACTATAGTCTTTGGAATCCTGTGTAAAAATGTTTGTTAATTTTTCGTAATGAGTTATATTCTAAGTATATGTATATGAGTTAACTGACATTTATTTGTTGCTGTGTGCGTCCGCCCGCATTGTTACCCTTTTTATTGGCCATTATTTATAACAAACAATTTACTTTAATTCAACTTTTTGTAGTATCTTCAACAAATTTCACCGGCCAATGATTTTTGATGTTGCTTTTGTAAAATTTTTCTTTCACACAGCTGTCAAATTGAAAAAACGTCACGTGATGACATTTCACGGGTTCTGTTTATATCAAGCGCAGGGTTGCTTCAATACAATTTGTATACCCTTCATGTTTGGAAATATTTAAAACTGCAGTGAAGAATTAAGCTGAAGGAATACGATGTGACAAAAAAGTTCACTTAGTTTAATACAAATCCTTACTGTCTTCTTGAAAAAGACTCGCGGTGAGCCCACCCAACCAACTTAATATAATTTTCCATAATGTTGTTGTTTCTTTTGTAGCGGCAGAAAACACTTCTGAAGTAATTTTGAGGTGATTTTGACCGAATAAAAAAACCCGTACCGTTCCGTTTACTTAGACCCGACTATCGTAAGAATACTTGTTATTAGACTAGGCTGCGATGGCCTTCAGTGGCAGAAGACTTTTAATAGTCTCATAGTTCACTGACCTCATGGTGTATTAACCGCATTTTTCAGTTTCGGAAGCAAATAAGTCACATAGAGCCAAATCTGGCGAATACGGTGACTGAGTGATGTCTCTTGTTTCGCGTTTGACCAAAAAACCAGTCGCAATGATGACAGAACGTGACGACGCATTATCGTGGTAAAAAATATATAATAATTTTCACTTTGATTTTTGTCCGACTTTGCAGTGGTTTTTTCGGTTTCGGTTCATTGTTAAAGCTTTATTCGCTAGATTGATAGACACAGTCGCCAGTAATGATGCTTTTGATAAATTTAGAGTCCTCAGCTTCCGTTTTGCTAAGGATAAAAGTATAGCATTGACAGGCTTTATACCTAAAACATTAACCAAAATGTGTTGAGCATTCCATAAGCGTTATTGAGATCCCCCACTGTCCTAGCAAAGAATTGAGCTGAATAATGATCCATTGCCCACTTTTAAATGAAATATACATTTTTTAGTTTCTTTCGATTATATTTTTAAATGTATTGCCACGTTTTTAAATTCTCCACAAACAAGCATACATATTTCATTTTCTTTAACATTAACTTAAATATATAAACAATTTATGCTAATTCGCCATTTTCAATGGACTTTACTACTATATATTATATACAACGTTTTTTCAATAATAATTTTAAAATGTGAGCGTTTTCTTATGAAAATACTTAAAATTGTAAGATCTTATGCTATTGAGTGTTAAATATGGACTCCGGATAATAACTGGGCGCATTGAACATACGGGGGAAACCATTCGCATCTAATTGTTGAACAGGCAGGACAGACATGATATCACTAAAAAGAGAAAAACAAATAAAATAATATACGTTAAAAATGTACAAAGGATTAAATGAAGATCATATGAAGCAAATATTTAAATTACATGTGCTGGAAATGGTTACAGCAATTCAAATTTTTCAGAAAACGTCTCTTATGAACGTGTTTTATAACCGAAATATCGGTTAACAAATGTTCAGGCGACTATAAAAATTCTTAAAAGCTTCTTACATAGCTCTAACCCAAACACAAACTTTTTCGGTTAACTTAAGTTAAGTAAACAAGCAGACATTCGTGAGACCACAAATAATCTCAGGTTGAGACGCTTATCCGTTGTGATGCCGAGAACTCCTAAGTACGGATTAAAAAGACTGCACCTAGAGCTAGCTTATATCTACTCCAACCAATTCGCAACAAAGATGTTCCAACCTTAGTCTGTCAAAAGCTTGACAGTGAATGAGAAAGTGTCTAGTCGTTTCCAACTCATCTCCTCTTAGAAATTTTGACAAGTTGCATCCTCCAAAATTTTTAGTCTCACCGCCTGAGTGCCAATGGGACATTGGTCAGTTAGGACACCTATCATAGCGGCCATGTGAACCTTACTAAGAAGTAGTAGTCATGGATCTTTTGCGTTTTAGTATGGGCCAGAAGGTTTTCGCAACCTTACAAGTGCTGGTTGCTTACTTAGGTTTGCTTATCACGCAATCATCTACTAGCGAGCTCATCGACTTTACAGATTCCCACGATTACGCTATGACCAAACATCCAGATAAGTCATGCATTCCTTAACTAACTTTGAGCTCACTGACATTCCTATATAGCAGCTATATTATCGGGTTACATGCATACCTCCCTAATAAAAGCCATACATCGTTGAACTATACATATCTGCTTATACGTTAATAGCCGCCAATTCTGACTGAAAGAGCTCCCGGCAGAATAATTTCTCTTCAACCTTACGTTTGAGTTTCAATCTAATCATTAAAGAATTCACTGCGTCTCTTCTGTAGCGCGTCCGTTCCATTAACATATAATATCTTTTGAAGATACTATATTTGGCGAAGCCAATAGGAGAAGTTTTCCTGGCGCTGTGATCCAAGTAATCAGGAATGCAATTGAATTGCGAGAGAATTTATGAATTTCCCACCCTGGGACCCTTTTTGTTTCCGGCTTCCCGGTGTATCAGACAGCAACCTTTACAGCAATGCTTTTGCCGGCTATGTCGACGGGTGCCATATATAGAATGGCATTATGTATCATCATTGGTGTTGTACGTAGTGCAACACTGATGCATATGAAAGCGTCTCGTTGAACATGTTGCAGCTGCTAGCGAGTGTCGAGCTTCAGTGGTTCTCAATAACTCCTTTACAGTTGACAGCGAGTTCACCAGTTCTTCACTTACTTCTCAACATTGGACTTCTATTAAAGATCTCTATCGACCTTTTGTGGTGGCACATAATTAATAAGTTTTTCCCGACCTCGTAGATCTGAGTTTCGTCTATAACTTTCAGGGCTGTTTTTAAAAAATATAAAGAGAAAAATAACTCGTCTAACTGTCTTGTCTTGTCCAATAAAATAGTTTTCCATACAAGGACTTGAGTTTTATCGATCAGTTTTTATGTAAGCTGTATGCTATAGTGGTCCGATATCGGTGGTTACCAAAAATTAGTAGCTTCGTGGATAGAAAATAACGTATGCAGAATTTCAGATCATTATCTCCCTAACAGAGTGACTACTCGCTTATGTAAAGATGCGATGCTTCCTTCTGGGTGTGACAAGCCTCGTGGCAAGATTATTATACCTGTTCCAGTTATAGAAATACCTATTTTGCTTCCCCGGAAATAAATTATATTATTATTAAATAGAACATTAATTTATTGTCCAATAAATCTGTAAAATGTCCTACTGTATCTTAAAATCTAAATTCAAAAATTTGTTGGGCTACACTGTACTTTATAGTCATCTAAAAAACTATACCAAATGCAATGCTTTAATGCAAAACATGCGTGAAACGAATAATTTCGTGCTGACACCCCACTGTGCGATCTTGTGCGTGGCACTACAAGCTGCAATCCTGGCACATGCGCTGCGCATGCGTACACTTTAGTATACATATACATATGTACATGTACGCGACGTTACTTAGCTAAGGCAATTATAAAGAAAATGCAATAACTTCTGGCGACTTAAAGTCTAAAAATATTAAAAAATAAGAAATACATATGCAAAGTGCATTTCGCCCGCCAACGAACCGCAGCGACGCAACGATGCAAATGGCCACATAAAACACGCTCAAGTGCTAAATGTGTAAATTGAATTTACGCAGCCGCCGGACAACAACAACGAAACTCAGTATGTATACGTATGTAAATCACAACAGGAAATAGTACGTGTCCCGCTACACATGCGCAACACATATACATACATACAGACGTGTTATGCGTATGCTTTTTTGTTTGCTGTTTAACGGTCAGCTTAATTTAATGATTTTAAATGCCAATTTGGTTCGATTGAATTTTCCGCATTTAGTCACTAACGGACTAGGCACTTGCCATTCACCAACTCCCACTCCGGTACACGTGTGTGCGTGTAGTTGTGTGTGTGTTTTATGAGTTAAAGGGAAACCACTTGGCGTATACGCCCTTCTAAAAAGTCAAGTGGCTGCCCGCTGTGACTTTTGACGCACCCTACATACATACATCTACATATGTATGTTTATACCATAAAGGCTCTGCTCCATTCAATGCTTAGTTTTTCTTTAAATTTTTGTAATGTGAGACCTTTTCGAGCACGCTCCGTTTTTTTTTTCGTTGTTATTCTATTATGTAAATTGGTGCGCTTTCCTTATTGAAGTACATACATACATATGTCGATTTGTAAGAATAAATGGCGAGTGTAATAGGTGATTTTTGAGACATTCATGGTCTTTGCCTGCTTTTAGCGATGAAACCAAGAGGGGCTGCCTAGAAAATAAAATGAACTAAAGTACTAAAATTTGGTCAAAATGAGGTCTGCTTTTTTGTAATGTATTTGATGCCATTCATGATTTGAATCAAATGGCAATCACAGCTCGTTTTGCATATCTCGAGCCGTTTTCGTCAATTTTCGTTGACCCGGTACAGCATTTTGGCTGGAATGTCGACTATAGTCCGTTGTGTTCCAGTCTTTAGGCGCACCTGGTCAAATTCTATGCGGTCGCTGGAAGTCACAGGAATAGTTCTATGATGAACAGGTTTCCATTCACCCTAGGAGACACTTTTAGTATCGCTTTTAACACAGTGTCGGTAGCAAAATGCTTGGCTGTGTTGATGCCGCAATGAGTGGGTTCCTTTTGCTTTAGCATCTGCGGCTTCTGGCTGTCCTTCTCCGCCGACGTTTTAGGCTTCCCCAGAGAATCCCTGCTGACGGATAAATTTGTAAAACACATCATCATATGTTGAGACTTCATCCAGTGGTCTCAACGCTGCTCCCGACTACCCTTCAAACCGAGGCACTGACACCCTCCTTTTGGTTCCTGATAAAACCAAGTGCAAACTCGTAGTTTTATCCTGGGAAGAAATACCGTCATGATGTGCTTAGGTGGTATCTCTTCACCTCTATTCGCATATAGGAATGCCAGCTTTGCAGCTTCGCAGCGAACTCCGGCCAGGTGACAGGTCTTTTCATCCTTACAGTCAACTCAAGCATGTTATGAGTCGGTGTTTCCGCACCCCCGTATATCTCATCCATGATGTTATCCTGTAAAGCTCCTCTGACCCCAAAACCTTTGTCCATCTAGTTCCTACGTTCATCGGCTCAGCTGGGTAGGACTACTGGTCTACTTTTTTTATGCGAAACACAAGAGGCAGCCGCGCCAGAGTCACGGTTAGGCCACCATTACTTCCCAATATGGCCCGGTGTTCGCATGGCTACATTAGAATACAGCTGACTTTACCTCCTGCCAGCAATTTATTCAATGGGTACGGGAGTTACATAACAATCTGGACAAAAATGTGAGAGCCATATGAGTCCAAGGTGCGTTTTCCTCATATGACTACCATCAAAACGACGATTTGTCGGCAATAGTAGCCAATATTTTTCGTTTTTTACAACATAATTGAACAGTAGTTAAGTAGTAAAGACCAATTGATTTTGAGGGGGGAGCTTGCTTGAGATCGAATTTTTTGTTTGCTCAAATCTTTTTAAAAATTATCTAAGAATATGTCCCCAAAGTTATGGATGGGAATTCGAAATATATTTGAAGCTAGAAGATTAATAGTGACCGAGCGTCTAGCAGATAAATGAGCGACCTCCATGCTGCCCACCGTCCGACAAATGCACATGCGAGATGCATCGGGCAATTGCTTACCAAAGGCAGAATATCAAAGATTTCGTATCCACAAAATTAAATAACGATAAACCCCAGACATTTCGCTTTACCGAATTATTTCTTTCCCTCCCAAAAAAATCCTCAAAAATCGATTTTTTGAAGCCTCTAAAACAGGCTAACATCATAATTAGAAAATGGACCGAGAAGAAATATTCAACAAATAAGCCAACGCGTTAGGATCATCCACATAGCTCAAAAAAGTAGAGTGAACTCCATGAACAGCTTTTAAAAACTTTGACTGTCGATTCAAAAGCGGCGGAGCGACTTTAATTTACCTATAAAATCCTCCAATCACTTTCCTTACAAATTAAAATGGTTGGGAAGTTAATGTCAGAGAGATCGAACAGTTGTGTCAACATTTTATTCAACGATGATCACCACAAAATGAGCAAAATTTTATATATTAGAGCAACAATGAATCTCAATTGATGAAACCTCAAAACACCCAGTATACTTCTAAGATTGCTGAATGAACAACTTCATTTACAAGAAATGGACATGTTGCTCGTCACACGCCGATGACTCATTGTAGATAGGTCGAAAAATGTTTCTCTAGAAAGAGATTTCTATTTCCTGCATAGGAATAACGGTTAAAAAGGCATTAAGGTCAAACATACAACTATCTCATGGATGGTGTAAGATGCAGTGCTTCGAGCAAATTCTCTACAGACCTCACACTAATGCTCTTACAGGTTTCTAAAACTAATACTTCTCACTTAGTAAATACTCACGGTCTTTGTTGCGGTGTTCGATCACGCTGCCTTCGATTTTTGAACCAATTGGACACTTGTGTCAGCGTTAGACCGGTTTTCTCCGATAACGTTTTCTTCTCATCCGGCGTTGGATAACGATTTGTCATATAGCAATCTTTTAAAGCATTTCGACTTTTCTCCTTGAAACAATAAACGGTTTCTTCGCCATCCCAAATGGTTTTCGGCAAGGGATACTTTTTGCGTAGACGATATTTATCGACCGCGCCTAATGGACGCCCGCGCACTTTCTCTGCTTCCTTGTAATGCGCTTGAAACCAGAGATTCTGCAGGTCCACATGAAATTTCACTGAGAAGCAATGCGTTTCCAAGAGATTGTAGAGTTCATGAAATTGTCCACGATGATAGGCGACAAGCGCGCGGGCGCGCAACACGCTCTCGTTCGTCTTGAAAAGTTCACTGGCGGGTAGGCTGCACAGAAAGGTGGTTAACTTTTCGATATCACCCTTTTGCTGCAGTGCTTCACACATGCATTGTATCTGTAAATGCAAGAAGAAATATTAATATTGAACATATGTATGTCATAGTGCAAGCTAATTTTGGACTAAGCATAATTAATTGACACCCACCTGATCTGTGGTAAATTGCAAAAATTTGCGATCCAACTGAAATCCGCCCGATAGGCCATGTGTTGTTGTTATACCGGAAATCAGTTGGCCGCCGCCACTCAAACCCACTGCACCTGGGCGATTAATGCTGTTGATTGCTTCACTGTTGAGTGTTGTTTTTGTATTACCATTATGATCACCAACACCGTTTTCATATATAATACCATTTAGCGCGGGATAAAGCGGTGAGCCGGCAGCAGTGGGCGGTGGTGACTTGTCATAATCAATACTTATATCGCAGAATCTTCGTTCGATGTCTTTGTCACTCGCGTAGGCGGGGAACTTATCGAAGTGTAACACAGTTTTGCAGGAGATATTGCCGCGATAATCTGAAGTTAGATAATAAGAGGGCTAGTAAATAGTATCAGAAGTAAACAGTGGCTTTAACTTGGCTTTCAACTAATATACATATAAAACATTTTACGCCGAGCTTTTAAATTGAAGAGGTACAAAATTCTGTTGTGCAAGAACTGGACCGGCTGGCCCTTCTCGCTTTGCTCTGTCAGCTCTTTAAAAGCTCCAAGAAGATTCGACATTTTTTTTTCGAGCCAAATTTTGTTCACCGATGTGGTCCATTTCTGGCTCGATGTTTATGTAAACAAGCAAAATTGCCGCATTTGCGATAATGAGGGACCTAAATAGATAATTTTTCAAAATTAAGGCCGATCAATGGCGACCGTTATTCCGCCATGATAACCGACTATTTATTCCCTGAAGCTTTTGATCTCGATGAGATTTGGTTTTAACAAGTTGGCGCCATTTTCCTCCCACACATCGCATCAATCAATGGATTTATTGAGAGAAAACTTTGGTAAGCAGATATCTTCACTTCTTGGGCCGGTCAATTGGCCACCAATATCGTGTGCTATCCCACCGTTAGAGTTTTTCCAGTGGGGATATGCAAAGTTTAAGTCTATGTGGACAATCCCGCTTCGAAAAGATCATGCGTGTCATTCACCAGTTACCAGACGAAATGCTTGAATGAGTCATCGAAGATTGGACTCATCGGATTGACCATTTGAGAAGTAGCCACGGCCAACATTTGAAAGACATAATATCCAAAAAATAAATGCCAAAGAATGTTTTTTCGAATATTTACCATTAAATTTGAAGTTTCTATGTTTTTCTTTAAAAAAAAGTAGGGAACCTCGAAATGTATCGCCCTTTATAAGCACTTTTTATCAAGATTTTCAAAAGGTATTTGCTTTTATGCTACAACAACTAAAATAAATTGTATCCGAAATAATTTTTGAAAGTGAAAATGAACAATATAATTTCGAAAAAATGATTCAAGCCAAGCACTAATGAAATTGATTGGTCGCTTATGCTCTAACTTCGAAAAAAATACCTCTTCACATAATACTTTATATTTCAGTAAGCAATGCTCCACTTTTTATATAAGTATGTAAAATATATGTATACATGTATGTATGTATATAATACATGCAATAGCAATAAATTCTCATAAATGTTTCGTTGGTTTTTGTATTATGTTACTTTATAATGTTCTATGCTCAAGTTGTTATTATAATTGTATATGTGTGTATATGTTATATGTACGTATGTAATTCAATGCTTGAGAAATGCGCCATTCTAAGCTAAATTTTCCCTGCCGCTCAACAGTTTTTCCTTATTTTTTAGCGTTATACATTCAAATATTTATAAACAATGCAAATATCAGGGTACAATGACGAAAAGCTATGTAGGCCTGTATGAGGCACAAGTTTTCATGTTTAATTTATTAGAAATAAAAATTTCCAAAGTAGCTTAAATTTTTTTTTAGCATAAAGATGGCTCAAAAATTGAAACTAACATATGTACATATATTTTAAAACTCTGTAATCGCTTTAACCGCGCGGTTAGTTTTGCTTTCTCCAGGTTGGATAAAGAAGCGAAGCGAATGGGTCTGATAGTGAAAGAGGGCAAAACGAAGTATCTTCTCCCACCAAACAAACAATTCTCTCACTCGCGAATTGGTTCCCACGTCACTTTGACAGTCATAACAGTACCCGCTGAGGAAGCGGAGAAATAGGGAGATCTCCACTCCGTAGGAAAGATCAGGTGGAGAATGATCTGGCTACACTTGGAATCGCCAATTTGTGACAAACATGGAGAACGACTGGCGCGTTGTTGTAAAATTGGTAGACATTTTCTTAAACTACAACTTTATCATATAAATTTCTTCTAGAGAACTCGTAGTTTTGAGAAAATCGAGATGAACTGTTTTAGACCCCGAAAAATTCAACCACCCCATCTCTTCCTGTTCCGTAAATTATTTTTCTTTTTATCTTTCGTTTCTAATCAGTTTCATTCCACTATAAGTTCGTTTGCCTTCGAAAATTATCTAATACATTATAATGATAGAGCCCTTAAATATCTACATTTCTATATGATGAGGACCATCCTTTATTTATTAATTTGCTGATCGCTATGCTGAATCTATCACTCTTCAGAATATAAGTTGTCAATATAAAAAAAAAGTTTTCCAATGGAATTCATTACAACAGAATTTTTGAAATTCTCAATAATGTGATATAACCGCTTACTATTCGATCTATATTCAATTTATGCCAATTGCTTGTTCGATTTAACTCTCCTAATTTTGGAAAGTATGATCCCAACTATAAATAAATTACTTGCTTTTCTCAATTGTCTAAATTACATATAAATCTTCAAAGCAAATTTTTTGTTGCTGGTTTTATCTATACAGCGTATTCTGTTTAGATACTTTATATTTAAATTTTAAGTAAAATATAGCCAAATTATGTTTGTAAGAAAAACATTCTATTTTTTTTTTGTTCCTTACAAGTTCTGGAATTTCTGGATTATGTTTGCTAACTTTATACTAGTAAGAACTCGTCAGCATTATGACTGAAGTCGCTAAAGATATAATATGACAAGAGTAGAGAGTCAAAACGGTTTCGGTTCCTAACGTGACCGTACAAAAAAAGTCAAGTTCCAGCTTCGCAAGAACTATTGGATTGTCAAAATTTTCCATGAATGCAAGATTTATGTGCATACCATATGTTGACTGGAAAATGTTCTTTTAGCTCTGGAGTCAAGTTATTCTTTTTGTTTAGTGGGTATTTGATAATGGCTTTATGAGGATTTCCAACTGAAAAGACCTGTCACTGTCATAATATTTTTAAAATGTGTTAAAAAAATTGCTGTGTCAGTTTTATCAAAAACACAAGTCTATGAGTGGTAAAAAGCCTTCAAAAGCTGGCGAGATCGTTGAAGACATACCTCGTTCTGGACGAACTGCGATCGCTTCGACCGATATATATTAAAAAAGTGAAGAATACGGTGCTTGAAAACCGTCACATGTGTTAGGGAGATGGCAAGAGAGCTCGACATTTCTTGCGTATCCTTTTGAATGATTTTGGTGGATATTTTAAATATGAAACGCGTTCTTGCTCAACTTGTCGCGATAAAACTGTGGTCTCTTTGCTTCATCGTGCGAATTCCCATCCAACATTCATTTCTTCGATACTCGTGTTTTGGTGCATCATGAATATGTTCCGGAGGGACAGACGGTTAATAGGAAGTTCTCTTTGGGCGTACTTAGGTGTTTACCTGAGAACATCTATCGAGAACGGCCGGAATTGTGGAAGAACAATTCATGGCTTTTACACGATGATAATGCACCATCGCATCGAGCCACAATTGTGACCGAATTTAAAGCCAAAAGCATCAGAATTGGCTTCGTGTGATTTTTTCTTTTTCTCCAAACTGAACTGAATTATTTAGAATTTTATTTGATTAACTATTCCAGTACTGTCAAAAAAATTGCTTCAATAATCAGAACAATCCTTATTGAGCATTTTTTTATTACTTTTTTAATATTTTAATATTTATATTGAGTTCTTACTTGAATTTGGTATATAAAGACTACCATATTGCACTGGTGAATGCATATTATCCTGCATAACTGTCGAATTGTCTGAGGATGTGCCGCCGGAACTTGTGGAATCTATATCACCAACGTGTAACGATGATGAAAGCGTTGTATCCATATTCTTGTCAAACATTGGACAACAATGTGCAGCGTTTATGCACACACTACGGGCTTATACAATTTCTAAACACTTGTTTTTTGTGGATATTGCTGTATAGTATTTTTGAAACCACATATAGTTGTATTTAAATGTAATTTGTTTGCACTCAAACACTAATGGCACATATTAGTTTTAATATAATTTTTTAAAATTTGTTTTCATTGAATTTTGAAAATTTTTTAAATTTTTTTGCTGTAATCCCAATTCATACAACTGCTTGCAAATGATTTGAAATACTTGTAAACAATAGTTTTGTCACACGCTCGTTACACTGTGCCGCATATCGTCTGCAAAGCTACCGCTGCGTTTTGTGGTTGAAAAAGAACTGATACAAAAAAGTCAAAAGCGCATTTTTTGAGCAAGAATTTCCTGGCCGTCGCTGTAGTTGGATTGGTTTGCCATGCACACATTAATGAATGGTGGTGGCTGGTGGAATTGGTGAATGAGCGCAATGTTTGTTCGAAGTACGCCTGCAAGTCTTTCATAGTGTGGGTGCGTGCTTGGCGCACACTCAAACGCACTCACACCAATGCAAGGCAACATTTTGCTGCTTACGAAACGAAATGAGATTGGAACGTGTTATGCGAGCAATATACGGTATAAGGGGTTGTTTTGGCTTCGTTATCCTTGAGAGGCGTTGCTAATGTGGCATGCACGCCATTTTGATTTATTAATGAGTTTTTTTTACTGATTTTTTTGGTTAGAGAAACAAGTTTTTTAATTAAAATAAAGAAATTTTATTTTGCATGCAGCTCAAAAACTAACGTAATTGAATGTAGAAAAAATATTTGGGGAATAGAGTCGTTGACCCAAATTATTAACGAGTATTTTTTTGTGTGGAAAGCTGAAATTATTAATTGGAAAAATATTTTATTGATTGGAAAAGTTAATTTTAATTGGAAATATATTTTATTGAGTAGAAAGTTGATTGAAATTTTTGTTCAAAAATATATTTTTTATTCAAAAT